CCCCTGGTCCTCTTTCCCATTTTCCTTTATTTCCCTTTACTCTCTGTCCTTGAATAAAATGCTAACAAAGAAATACAAAACAACAGGGAGCATAATTAATATATGCCTGGGGCTTAGGAACAGATAATGGTATCATTAGCCCAGATTTTCCAGGACTTGGGATGCAACGGGATAAGAAACAGGGAAATTGAAAACAACAGCATTACTTCCATCCAGCAGGGCTGCTCTCTACGACCTGAGCCCCTCTGGAGTTCTCCTGAAGGATGAACTGTCACTTGTGTAAGGGGCCCTGAGTGGCTCTACTGCCAACTGTTCCCTGTTTCATTTTTTTTTTTTTTTTAAAGTCCTACTCTCTGCCAACTGAGATATAGAAGCCTCTTCCAGATGTACAACAGATGATTAAAAAGAAAACAACAAAAAACATGGCAAATGCTGCTGCTGAGTGCCGTCCAATGGAAAGGCGGAGATCGCTTGGACCATAATAAACAGGGTGGCAACTCTCAACTGTAATTCCTTTTAAAGCATTTTAACAACAGATGGGAATGCGAGATGAGCGATGGCAAATTGTTCTTTGTGCTTTGACTTCCGAGTGTCGGTCATTTTCATTTGTGTGGGCGATCACACCAGTAAGGTTCAGGTTTTTTTTTGTCAAGAAATGTCATCGTGGAAGATGAGACTCAGTTCTGTGGTTTCAGTCCTAAGACTAAGGTTCAAAATGCTCATTGGAAATCTCCCAGTGGTCATGTGAAAAAAAAAAAAACAAAAAAAAACAACCCACATTCATCAAGATCATATCTGATGTGATACCCACTTTGTGTGTGTGTGTGTGTGTTTTCCTGTATTCAGGATCTACAGAGTCTGCAGGACCTCACTACACAGATCGAACTCGTGGTGATCCTCCTGTTTTCAGCTTTTCAAGCGCTGGGATTACAGGCTCACACCCAGTCTCCATCGCCATCTCAGCACACCCCGGGGGCGGGCCGGCCGCTCCGCTCTGCCTAAGCAAGCGCTTTAGTCCGCTGGGCTATCAGGCCGGCCCTCCCACTGTGTTTATTGATCTGATGGAAAGTGTGTGAGCTAAGTTTGTACCCAGAAACACTGTGATGCCTGTGAATATGATATAAGGAGGACTCATTAGAGTATTTAAGAAGTGATGTGTGCAGAATACAACGCAAGAAATGGGCGCTTTCAGCCTTCATCGTGCAAAGCTCAGTGTCACGCACTGAAGCCTCACTGGTGCAGCCGTTTCTACCCAGTGAAAACATCACAGAGCCTCCTCACCTACCTCGTTCACCACGTCTGGCCCCATGCAGCTCCCCTGGTGTCAGCATGACTATCAAAGGCAAACACCGAGGCCGCTACGACAGCACAACTAAAGACACTCCAGAAAGAACTTCCAGAGCTGCTACGGAAAATGGAAAAAAGTGATGGGACCGGTGTGTCAGAAGTTAGGTAGGGGAGGGACTTGGAGGGGTATTAATCGCAGTGTCTTGTTACTGGGAGAATCTTTCAAAATGCAAACACTTGCCATATATTTGATCAGGGCTTGTCCATAAAGCTCTTGGTGTTTTTTTGTTGTTTTTTTTTTAATGGCTTTAAGAGATTGCTACTATAACTGGAAAAATATCACAAACCTGGTGTCTTCCGAGAAAAGCCCCTTCCTGCTGACAGATCATGCACAGAAAGCAGGTGGAGAAGCTGAATGCTCAGGAGCTTTGGAGGGGGTGCTGAAGGCGATCCCCAAGCCCTGAACCAGCTAGCTGACACCTGTGTCAATGCAATCACAGTTCCATCCAACAGCTAGACTAAAAATAACCTAGCACTTTACCATGGCAGGCTTGCCTGGCTCGGAGGAGCAGAACTAATGCTGAAACGTGCCGGCTGCACGTCCAACAGGGGAAGGCGTAATGACGTCAAAAAGCACTTAGACTGGAATGTGGCGATCACCCAGGACGACCACAGCTCACTGTGCTCAGTTTATTAGCAAATGCATTTTTATTCCTCTCAGTAGCAATTTATCTGTGTTTCTTCAAAGGACGATCAGGAGGCTATTGGCTTCTTTCTGATGCCTTTGGTAATTATGTTTCCTGCACATTTTATTTATGTGGATGCTATATCTGGATCATTTTGGGGGGAAGAGTAACTGTTTACTCAACTTCAGACCTTTGAGGGCAAGAAGCATGTCTATCCAGCTTCCTACCTCTAGAACCTAACAAGTTCTAGAAATTTAAAAACCTCTCAATAAAACATTGGTTAGGTTAATGAGCAAAATGCTAACATTCTGAAGAGGGTCTTGGAAAGCCTACCTAAGGGCCTAATGAGTGGTCTGAATCTTTAAGAAATTGGTGCTGTTAAGCACTAGTAAGGCAGAAGGGAGAGAGGCACAGGAGATGGAATGTTCCAGGCATTTGAAATTCCTATCAGGGGAGTTTAAAGGGGCTTTGTAGAACCCGTGGGTGAGTGGAAGGGGACTAGCTGAAGGGCTGGGTAGGGGCTGGAGGAGCCTCGTAAGAGCTGCTAAGGAGCTTGAATTCTATTGAGGAATCCCAGTGTACTTTTCAGAGGGAGAGAGCACAGATAGACTCCTTCCTTTTGGAAAATTTTCTTTGGCAGCAATGTGACAGCTGATTGATAGCAGGGGCCGAGATAGGTTGAGACGGGATTGCAGAAATTGGTACAACACCTGATAGTCAGGAGTTCAGGTGAGGAATGAGGAAGGACCAAAAGGTTTCCAGCTGTCCACTCTTCTCTTCTGTCAGTTTTTACCATCCATCAATGCATCACATCTTCTTTCAGGAATAGTAGCAGAAGATGGCAACTACAGTGCAGTTTCGAGACTTTTAGCGGGGCCACCCCAAAATGCTAAGAGGGACCAAACCCTCCCTCCCTCATAAAAGTGATGAATGTCTTTTCTGAGACCATAATCCTTGGGTCTTCACATCTGTCAGCAGCTTGTAGCCCACCTGTCACTTTAATTTTTCAGCAAGGGAATAAGAAGAAATAAGCAAGAAAGGAGAAGATACAGAAGGTGGCAAAGAAACAGGTAGATGGTAAGGACTCTGTGTATTTTATTCACTGCTGGAGAGGAATTAAAGGGGTTGAAAGAAGAGCAGGAGTGGATCGTTCTTATGATCCTTTGTGACCAGAAGTCACATTTTACAAAGGAACTTTGGAAGTATGCAGACTTTCCCTTTACTCTCTAGGGCTTGCTGATGGGGGCTAGAAGGCTCAAACCCCATCCCTTAGGACAGTGGCTCTCAACCTGCACTGTACATCAAAATTAACTGAACAGTGCTGATGCCTGGCCACACCCCAAGAGATTCTACCTTAATTGGTCGGGCATGATTTGGGAATCGGTCCTTTTATAGAATCCTCTGGGTGATATAAACATATGGATCAGTTTATGAATGTAAATCATTCCTGTAGAGGAAGCAGTAAAACACTTTTTCTGTGAAGGAATGGGGAGTATATACCTTGGGCTCTATTACAACTACTCTGCTCTGCTGTTGTAATGTGAATACGGCCATAAGCAATATGTAGATGAGGGCATACAACTCTGTCTCAATAATACTTTATTGACAAAAATAGCAATGCACTAGGCATGATGGTACATGCCTATAATCCCAGCATTTTGCGAGGCTGAAGCTGGAGAAAAGTCTGAACCTAGGACTGGGGAGATAGCTTGGTGGTCTAAGTGCCTTCCAGGCAAGCACAAGGTCTTGAGTTTGATCCCTGGGATCACATGCCTTGCCGGCCCTGGAAATGGGAGTGATGGTGTTTGCCTGTAATCCCAGTGTCGGGGAGGCAGAGACAGGAGGATCACTATGAGGGTGAACTTTGTAGTGAGATCCTGTATCAAATAAATAAATAAATAAGAAAAGTCTGAACCCAGCCTAGGCAACTAAGTGATTTAATGAGACATTGTCTCAACTCAAAAAAAAAAAAAAAAAAAAAAAAAAAGACTAGGGGTGTAGCTCAGTGCAAAGACTCTGAGTTCAACTCCCAGTGCAACAAACAAATAAATGTAAAAATTTAAAAATAGGCAACGGGCTGGATTTGATCATGAGTTGTGGTTTATTGATCCTTGTATAGTCCAAAAGATAGCAGGATGGACCAAGTTGCTCAGTAAGGCATGGAGAAAGCAAGAAAAATACCCTAGTTTTAAAAAGACATTTGAAAGAATGTTCTGGTTTTATTTCAGTGCAGTGAGATATATTTTTGAATTTCATTTCATAAAATGCTTTTGGGAAAGTAAAGTGATGACTGACAAAAATTCGCCCTACCATCCTACATAGCTATCTATTCACAGCGACACTGTGGGGCCAACTTCACATTCAAATTCTGTAATGAAGAGTTGAGATTTAAAGTCTTGGTTCGATATGAGTTAGCCTCAATTTATGGCAAAGCTGTCAGGTTAGGCCCAGAAGTGCAGAAAGGAAGAAGTAGATTATTCAGTTTCATTAAACCCACGTAGTTTGACCTCTTAGGGAGACCAGGTGTAACTTTTTGTATGTTGAGGGAAAAATCCAGTTAGGTATAACTAAGAAAAGAAAAAATAATCTGCAGCAGTCACTAGAAAGGTTAGGCAGGAGAGACAGACCCTTAACCTTAGAACTTGAACTTAGAGAAAAGAAGTTAGGACACAAATAAGAAAAGACTCTCTTCCAGGTTGGGCAGATGACCCTACAGCCCGGTGGGTCTCTTGGGTTCTTGTATTTCCTCAGCTGGAATTTAGCCACGGACTTGTGTTTTGCTTTGCCTTTGTTTTTAATCGGATAGGGAGAATCAACTTTCATTTGTGCTATCATTTCATGCTAAAGACATCTAGAGAAAAAATACACATACTAGAAAAATGTACATTTTTGCTTATTGCTGTGATTTTCCTCCTATGGTCACTAATCTCATCCCTTTCTATGGCAGAGCAGTCAAGAGACAGGTGGGCAGGAATTGTGCTCCTCGTAATTGCCCTCGATGGGCTGCGGGGGTTATGCTGTTCTCACCTTTATCCTATCGATGTTGGCTTCCATCTTAAGCTGTTCTACCAGCTTCCTGGCTTGCGCTATGCTGGCGGTGTTGTTGCTGGCCATTGGAGCACTGGGTGGGTCTTTCAGACACTCTAGAAAAGAAGACCAGGAGGAAGTCAGTGTCAGAATCCATGAGTTGCCACATGCACAGGTTTTTGAAACACCATGTTCCTCTCGCCCTCTCCATGTACCACATCTGATTGCCAGGCAGACAGGCTGGGGTTTGATTTTCCAGTTCTCTACCCTTCTCCATCCCTTCTTCAGAGGAAAAAGAAAAGAAGAATGTGCACCAAATTAGGTCGAATAAGATGCACGCTGCTACAGTAAGAAAAGAAGCCACTTAACGTATGCGGATGTCTAGAGTAAGTTGAGATGGTAAAGGTTGTTGTGTGTTTCTGCTGCAAATTGTCCTTGAAGGATGAAGCAGAGGGATGTGTGGTCAGTGCTACACTCCAGGACTCAAGACTCTCTTTCCAGTGTTCTCTCAGTGGGCTTGAACACCACCCTGCTGGCTCACTGGGACACCTCAGCCTATCGTACTGCATAGGAGCGGACGGAGGGGCTGCCTTTTCAGTGTCACTCAGTGGGAACAGTGATTCCTCCCTATTCTGTCTGAAACACAGTTCGATTCCCAACTACCCTATTTGCCCGCCATTCTTCAGGACTACATCTACAACGTCTAGGCGAGGGAAGGCCATGTGTAAATTGTTAAGTACTTGAATCAGCGTCCTTACGTTTTGCCAAATTAAGTACAAAAGACTGACACACTCAGTGAATGTGGAGGTGGAGCACACGCACTGTGAGAGTGGACCTCTGTGCCTGGGGAAGACGGTGCTCAGGTTGCTTCGCTCTAACTGTATACTAAGGCCACTGCCTCTGCTGTGCCTTCTGCTCCTCCCAGTCTTATTGGCACCTTGCTTATCATCCTTCTGGACACATGATCTCACCCTAACAGTGTTGTGCACCTCAGAAGGTGCCCTATTTTATATTTGGTGCCCGTTTCCCACATTGTGATTGGGTCTTACTCCTGGTCAAAGTGGCCTAGGTACCTGCAGGACCATGCGCCTTTTGAGGTCACTGACCCCAATACTGAAGCAAAAACCTGAACGCTTCAGCTTAACTAGCAAGTGACCTGGGGGTGGGGGACAGTAAACGCTGCCTTAGTCAACACTGGCTGAACCTTGTTCTGAGGCATTATGCTAAATGCTATGACTTCTGCTGGCTCTGGGAAATTTTTTATCGAGGGATAAAACAAGTCTGGGTCACCTATCTCAGAAAGGAAAGAGGATACACAGAACATTTTCAGAAGAAAGAATAATCCATCATACATTTTTTACTTAGATTAAACCACCGAATTTAAGAAACAATTTTCTGCTGTGGTTACCAAAAAAGCAACAGCCTTGCTATACATTTTCTTCTTTCTTGATATAATTCTTCAAGACAAAAGAAGAAATTATACATCATCTTCTGTAAACATACAAGCTTTCTCTCAGAGAGTCACTTTATAAGGAATACTGCAAAATAAGGCAGCCAACAGCATTTGCAGGATAAATTGGAAGATAATTAACTGTTCCCTCAACTTATTTTCAAAGGCACTGGGAACAATAAAGTGAGAGAGACGATGGAAGAGATTTCTGAAGCCACATTGATCTCCGAAGTGTACTTTCATACGCTCGAAGATCAAGGGAGGGAAAAATACATGTAAAAACAAAAAAATAAAATAAAATAAAAAGCTAGTTTCATCAGCATGGCTAGGGACCCAAGCATCTCAGCCTGCAGGGAAATTATAAATTATTGGCTCACAATCAAACAAACCTCTATCAGCCTAGCAGGACTTCACAGGGCTGAGGGAGAGCATTGACAGATGTAGTAGGGTAACCTAAATTTTTCTTTTCTTTTCAGAACTGGGGATTGAACTCAGGCCCTTGCACTTGCCAGGGAAGTGCTTATTCCACTGAGCCATCTCCCCAGCCCCAAGGTAACCTAATTCTTCTGTTCCTTCCAAATTACAGGCAGTCATGATTTATTAACCCCTGGACACTGTTCTATAAAGACACTCTTTCCACCAAACTGTGATAGCTGATAACTCTTCAGTCATCAGAGAACACAGAAAATCAGAGGATTAGCAAATCCTTGTGAAGAATGAGGAGGACTGGGGACTCTAGTCTGGCCAGCTACTCTTCTGCCTTGGAGTCTAACCCAGACCACACAGCAACTTGTCGCAGAGCCCGCTTCGCTTCCCAAGACTCCTCCGTTCTACCTTTTCCATTAGTCACGACCCCTCTTCTTCACAGTGATCATAAGAAGCCTGAACCCTGGCTGGGTGTGGTTTGCCGAAAGACACATTGTGCAGCTTCCTTTGCAGCTAAATATAGTATTCTGTCAGCGGCAAGCAGAAATGTCCTTGAGGGAAGGAGTCCTACACCTTGCTTCCTCCCCTCCTGCCACTGGCCATCTTGGACACTCCTCAGTAGACAGGAAGGGCCTGTGTCCTCAGTGGTTGTGTGGAGATGCCGTGCCAGCTGTGGTCTGGCATCTCTTACGTGTGCCAGAGATAACTACCTACCTTACTCAAACCACTATTAGTAGGAGTGTCTTTGCCCAGGAGACATAGTATGAGCTGATTAAATGCCCCACGACTTTCAGTGGAGCATGTAGGAAAGCCTATGTCCTACTGTCTTTTCATGCTCCTTTAGAAAAGCTCTGAGCATGCTGAGGAGACTGAGACAGAGAATGTTGTTCTAGTGCCATGCTAAGTAAGATATTTACTGCAAATCTAGTTGCTTAAACAGTAGGGACTTTTCTTACAGCTCTGGAGATAAAAGGTCTAAAAAGGGGCCCACTAGGCTAAGATCAGGTGGAGCAGGCCTGTGGTCCTCCGAGAGGTGGGGTGTCTAAGAATCTGGATCCTATCTTGGGTCAGCATGCCAAGGCGCACAGCATTCCTTGGCTTGTAGCCCCTTCCTCCAACTTCAAAGCTGGCAAAGGTAAGTTAGTTTTTCTGACTCTGACCCTACTTCAGCCCACCTCTTCCACTATAAGGAATACTGCTAACCACAGTGCACCCGCTCACATAATCCTAGATTATCTATCCCCCATAATGTAGACCATAATCTATCTGGTTATTTAAAAATCACCAGATCAGGAACCCTAATTTCACTTGGATCTGTGTTCTCCCTTGCTGTGTAATTGAACGTATGTATAGGTTCTGGAAGTTGGACTGTGACTAATTTGGGGAGTGAAGTTATTCTTCCCATCATGGAAGGAGACTTCTGCATAGCAAGGGAATGGAAGTAAGGAGGTAGGGTGTTGAGATGTGGAAAGAAGATGGGAGGGATGGGTACCTAGAAATGCTGGAGACAGAAGCCAGCTGAAATGAAGTTCAGAGAAAGAGTGAACATAAGCACTGGCTCCTAGTTTTAGGCAGTCACATCACGAGCGTTCCTTTACCATATGTCCCTGAAAGAGCACTGTGCCAGTTTCAGAATTACTTCATACAGGGGTCTGCAATCCTTGGGTCACAGAGCAGTAGCAGTTTCAGAAGAACAGGGCCCTGAGCAAAGCTTCATCCGTCTCTACAGATGCTCCCCGTTGTTCTCATCACCACGTGAACTTTGCCTCCTATCAGAGCAGCAGAGGCATTAGATTCTCACAGAAGTGTAAGCTGTCCTGTGAACTGTGCATGGATCTGGGCTAGAAGCTCCTTATGGGAATCTAATGCCTGATGATCGGGGTGAAGCCAAGGCGGTGATTCTGGTAGTTGGGAGGGGCTGCAAATGCAGATTAATGATAGCAGAGAGGTTTGACCGCGCAAAGAGTGTAATAAATCCATTGCTTGTAGACTCCTATTAAACCCTGTCAGTGAGTGGCAGGGGACAATTAAGCTGCATCTGCTGGCAGGCTTTACAGTGCCAAGTGAATTGATACACGTCCGTTGTATAGCTGCATCTGGCGGCAGCCTCTAAGTCAGAATCCGACATTTATTTCAGTTTGTGCTTGACCCACCTATGGTTGATTTACCACTTCTAATCATGCCTTTTTCCTACACTTGTCTCAGTTACAGTTTTGCTAAGCTCTAAGCTAACCCTAACTAAATTCAGTGAAAAACAAATCTCATGCAGAGCTCCTTTGAAAAGGGGGAAGACCCAGTGATGACAGGGCAGAAGACTCTAAGACTGCCAACAAAAAGAAAGCTACCCTTGAAAGAAAATACCCAGAGTCTTACTAAAAATACCAGATCCATTGCACAGGCAAGTCACATTCTCCAAGTCTGCTTTGTACTTAAAGCAGGGTGACCAGGTATTTGGAGTAGTCATGGAACCTCAAACTGTTTCACCCTGTCTAGACCAAGCCCTCTACATTAAAATCAAGCCTTTACAGTTTTTCAAAAGAAGAAAAACCACAAACATAAAGAACAGAAGCAATTATCGAAGGCCACCACTTCGTCAAAGGTATCTGTACTATCATTCTTAGTAGCTAACCACCTTGGTAAAGCCAAGCAGCTCTTTGCCTTCTTTCTTCAAAAATGAGACCCAGCTAGAAAATAATCAGCCTTGAAAACTACAGATCAAAAATGCCAGCCTCAATTGGCCATCCTCTCTTTACCTGCTGACACTGTTCTTTCTTTGGTGACTAATATATAAGGTGTGCGCATGCGCGCGCGCGCACGCACACACACACACACTATTCTAAAAGGGCTGCTGTACATCACTGATTCTTTTTCTTTTTTATTGTAGTAAAATGCACAGCATAAAATTTATGATCTTAAGCATTTTAAACATGTAGTGGAGCAGTATTAAGTCTAGATTGCTTTATAACCATTATTCATCTGAAGAATCTTTTTTGTCTTGCAAAAAAAATTTTATACCATTAAACAACATTGCTCCATTCTCTCCCCACTCCAGTCCCCAACAGCCACAACTCAACTTCCTGCGCCTATGGTTTTGTTGGTTTTAGGTATCTCGTATAAATGGAATGCAATACGGTTGCATTTTTTGATGACTGGCTTATTTAACTTACTGCAATTTCTTTAAGCTTCATCCACACCAAGGCATCTGTTGGAATCTTCTTTTTTTTAAGGGTGAATAATACT